ATTAACTGATGAACTTTTACAACTGTAAAATGGACTGACAAACAAGATGTGTTATTAAATGATGAACTTTGACAACTGTAAAATGGACTGACAAACAAGATGTGTTATTAAATGATGAACTTTGACAGCTGTAAAATGGACTGACAAACAAGGTGTGTTATTAAATGATGAACTTTAACAACTGTAAAATGGACTGACAAACAAGGTGTGTTATTAAATGATGGACTGACAAACAAGACATTTATGTCATTTCCACTTTAGTTCTATGACACTACAGTTACAAAACCTCAGTTGATTGTGGACTACAACAAGTTTATGGGTGGGATGGACCTGAATGACCAACATGTAGAATACTATTCTAGTGGACAATAAAGTGGTACAAGAAACTGTTTTTTCTACTTGACAATTGTTTACATACTGTACAAAATGCAGAGCAACCCGCCAACATTGTCCCAGAAGGTCTTTAGAATGGATTTGGTCACTTGGCTTGTTCAGCCTCTACTTCAAAGCAGACCGGGTCCTTCTGGTATACCACTTTCAAGCACTATTCAGAAGTCTTCAACTATGAGATTAACTGTTGGAAGACATTACCCCACACAATTTTTGAGAAAGGTGATGGAAAACAAAGCAGACTCTGTCTTACAAACAACAAGATACAAATGAAATGTAAAATTTATAACGAGTTTCTTTGTGTCAAACATTTTGAAGAATATCATACTACTGCTGTTCTCCAAAGAAGTTAAACATTTCTGTAATTACCTTTTTCTCTGTTTCTTATTTTATTTTTTGGTTTTAATTAACAAACTATTCGTGGACAAGTTTGATCTACACACTTTTGTATGTGTAGTAATAATGTTCTTTTCATGTGTATAACTTTTCATTATTTCATACAGTTTTATGTACGTTGTTTTCCATATATGTGAAAGTAAACTGATATGTTTTGAAGCTTCTCCATTTTTTCGTATTTTTAATATTTGTTTTGTATTTAAACATTTTTATTGAAATCTTCCTTGATCTATACACTTTTATGTAAAGATGTTCCTTTTAATGTGTTAAGGTCAGTTGACCAGTGATAAATTTATTTCATTGACTTTCTCAAATTACAAAAATAAACTTTTCCTGAATCTGTTTTCATTCTACCTCAATGTAAACGAGTAGAAAAATAACACGAGTTCTTACTTTGTAAAATACAGTAACATATTGGTTACCATACATTACACATACATAACTAATGGTTTCAAATAAATACTTAAGTGTCTGTTATTTTTGTTCAGACATTGAACAGTAAATAAAAAATGTTCAGAAAAGAATGAACTTACAATGCTACGAAGTCCTTGTTTACACCCGTGAGCCATACTTGTTAAACCTCATCCAAATTCACATGTGGAAATAGAAAAATGATATTTTGTAGACTTTATATAAGTATTGTGGAATACAAAAAATCATAAATTACTAAACCGATACCCAAAAAATCCACTGTAATTTATCAGGCTTCCTAATTAAATTGTATTTGATTCTAAAACAATATAATTTTTGTTCAGAAAATATACACCTGGAAAAAAGTTAAGCACCCCTGTGTTTTTTTTCAAGTGATTCAGATTCGACGTTCTTGTGACTGATTATAAATTACCATTCAATCTAAACGTGTTTATCAAATGAAATTATG